GCTTGGGGGGGAGAAGGGGGGGGGGGAGAGTAAAATTGAAAAAAAGTTGCGTGAAACGCGGATAAAGAACGAGAGAGTTGCCGAGTCCAACGTTGCTGCTTCGTGGCGGCTCAAGTGCGTCTGCGGACGTGCGAGCACGCGAGCGCAAGGGTTGGAGAACCGAACCAAGCTATGGAAACAGGTGAAAGCTCCGAAACTCGTTTCGTAAAAAAGCGTTGGTTAAGTGTGTTGCGAGCACATGTGCGCTCGCGCTATAAACGCACTATATGCAGCATGTCGAGGCGGCAACGGGTTATTGACGTGCTTCTGTGGAGCTGTGTTGGGCGAGAGAGGGATATAGAGATAGAGAGCCAGTCTGGCTGGGAACAAATGCGTACGTGTACACGATACAGATGTATATAGATACACGCGCACTATGTATACCTATATACGTATATATACATATATGTACACATTCATGGGGCTTCGTGTGTCAAGGAGTGAGAGTAGAACGCGCACAACGTGTGCAAGATAATTTAATGGGCAATAATCATGACACACATAGAGCCGCGCATACACCTCCGTGGCCGCGCTCCGACTGTCGGAACGCGGGTCTATATTTTCTGCGCATGCGTACGATCGACTGCCAGCTTCGTACCGAACTGCTCCCCCACCCCACTTTGCCGTTTTCTCGCCTCTTCGTTACTCTTTCAGTTTCCTTTTCTCTCTTCCCACTACTTTTTGAACGACACGGCAGACTGGGAACGGCTGGGTACTGAACGTTCGGTAACTTAGCACTTTCGGCCGCTTCAACGATGTCGACTGAATTCGCTGAAACTCGGGATTGACCCAACCGCTACAACCGTAACGTTCGCTTGCATGCTACTTTTTTTCGATTCGACTGAGAGACGTTGACTTTCTTACCGGCCCAACCAGCATGGTTTCGACTATACGTGTGCATTAGGAAAGCAGCTTTCTAAGTTGCTGTTGTACATTTTTCAAGGATTCGTTTGGAGAATGGTTATTTGCATAGGTGTCGCGTAGGTGTGAAGATTGGTGTCTTATTATCGGTAATGCGAAAACGACGTCTATCGTGTTTGCTTCACGCATATGTTATGCAATATAAAACGCGATATTGTATAACGATTATTTATGTCCTAGAACTCGAATAAAATATTAATTTTTTATAATTTAATATTTTTTTCATTGGCTCGCAAGGTCGACTTACACTTAAATAACGCCATTTTTCATTTTTATTCATGGGACATTTTCATAAACTTTTTTATTTATCAAATTCTTGAGAAATTTATATTTTTAAAAACTTATATCAACTTGAATCGAATAAAAGGAAGTGTATTTAAAATTCATTGAAAAAGTTCTAATTTTGCATTTCTCAATTTTATCTTTATTTTTGAAGAGATGACTCAACATCTCTTTTAAGCCTGCTTTCACATCCAACGTTACGCGTCCTCTGATGAAAGCATTTTGAAGCATTAGTTTACAACAAAACCTCGATTTATAAACAATCTTGCTGAGATAACAAATGTGACTAATCTCATAATCCAAAAACAATAAAATAAATAATCGGTATATTATAATTTTTCTATATTATATTTTTAACAAATATATATGATCAAATTTCATATGAAAAAGAACTTTTTAACATCTGAATTATCTAGATATTTTATAGCCACTCTGTACACGAGTACTATGTTTGTAGGTTAGGTAGTTGCCCGTTACTCGTAGAATTTTCGAACAAAGAAATACAATGGTATTATCATTTTTAAAATGAACTACGCACAACATAGTATGATTTCGCGATGAAATAATGGGCGTGCACCCACGAAATCGATGTCGTGCGTTTAAGGATCGTGTATATCTGTGCGAAGTTCTATCTTGTTCGCGCGCACTGCATGCGCGCGTTCATGCGTAACATTATATCGAGGCGTCGAAGTTGCGTGGCGCGCGCGCTAAACTGTTCGTTAAGCATTCGCAACGCGTAGTCATTGAATTGAACTTCGACGCTACTAGTGCATAGGTTCACCAACGTTCGCGACACGCGCCTTTACGTTTTTTGCGTTGAATTAATTCACTGAGAAATAGGTGCACCCATTCGCGATCTGACATTTATAAAAAATGCATTGATCGGGAAATTCAATTTTTCAATCTACTTTCTAGTTATTTTTATGGTAACCTTGTAATAAGTAACTATTTGATTCAAAGATTGCGGTAACGAGTTCCATTAATTTGAAAATTAGTCTAAAAATATGAATTACTTCATTGAATCAACGATTTGTGATATAATAACGCACCTAAAATAGTATACGAGTCGCTTCGGAAATAGATACCTGAAAGAAATAGAAAATATTCTAAAAATACAAACATACAAACTGGTTAGTTTATAAAAAAATAACAAATATGATATAGCAGTGAGAGCGAAATTTAAATCACAAAACTAAAGAAACAAAGCAAAATGGTAATTATATATCCCACAGTTAATTTATATGTCCCTCGTTAAAATTCATCGAATTACTTAAATTTCCTATACTAAAATCTACGTTTAACCTTACTTCCTGCAAAACTCACTATTCACACTGTTCACTAATTGAAATTATCCTAACGATATAATCGAATTTCCGACATAATATGTAGGCATATCGTTTGTTCAGCTAGTTACTTCAATCTTCATTACACTCGAATATGTGCACATATAGAAAAAGCGCAGGAAAATTTAGGAAAAAGTAAAACAAACATCGGGTCGAAAGAGATACAAAAATAAAAGAGAGAAATGACGTAGTGGGAGTGAGAGACGTGGTGTGATAAAGAAGCGTAGACAGAGAGGGAGACACGATGCGAGAGTCACAATCAATAAGCGTTTGCGGGGATAGGTGTTCCGTGAGTTCTCGATCCTCCCAGCGTAATACAGCGTTCTCCACGCTTGCGCGATGCTCCGTAGCTCCCGATTCTAACCCCCACCAACTCCTTCCAGCTCTACGCGTTATCCCCACCCTTCTTCCATCTTTCTCTGTCTTCATTTTACTCGTTCTCGGTTGCTACGTCGCCTGAATTCTGTCGTCATCCAGGTGAACTGACTATTCTCACAGTTGGTGACGTCTAGACCGCATGCCATCGATATACAAATCCCTGTTCTACTGCATACGCTACAGCGTGACTTGTTATAGCGTTTACCATCCTTTAAGGCCAATTAGTAGCATCGCGTGCGCAGCGCCCCCTGCGTACCTTGCGCATTACTCGTCAGTTAAACAATGCCCTTAATCTCGTCGAATTCGACGTTTTTCCCTTCTTTTCTAACGCGCATTACCAACCGCTGGCCGTTGAATCGATCGACTCTGTCTGTCGATCAAATT